GGAACAAAGAGATGAGCAGAAATGCTTATGGAGAGAGGCACAGAGAAAGAACGAGCTATTTCCACGTGGAAACGTTTTAAGAATCAGTGACCCTGCCTGCTGGTCCACACAGCCGAATCTATGTCCTATAAAACTGACCCAATCTAATCACTATGCCTCCTTCTGGGAAGGAGACAAGCTGAGACCTTCTTCTCCTCCCCATCAAATATAATGAGCAATATGTATCAAGAGCCCTAAATATTCATCCCCCTTAGCCCAATACTATTAATTTTACTTATTAATGCTTACTATGGGCCAAGCTGGCCTTAAATGCTTTACAAGTATTAACTTATTTAAGCCCCACAATAATCTTTTATTTTTTAAATGTATATTTTTATTGATTTCAGAGAGGAAGGGAGAGGGAGAGATAGAAACAGCAATGATGAGAGAGAATCATTGATCGGCTGCCTCCTACTAGGGATTGAGCCCACCACCTGGGCATGTGCCCTTGACCAGAATCAAACCTGGGACCCTTCGCCCACAGGCCGACACTCTATCCACTGAGCCAAACCGGTTAGGGCTAACCTTATATTTTAAGTACTGTTACTGTCTCCTGTTTTATAGATTGGGAAACCAAGATGTGGGGAGATTGATCCATGATCTAAGATCTGGCGGCAGAGCCTACATTTGATCCCAAGAAATCCAAGCTCAAGTCTCTGTTGTTAAGCATTAGACTACAATGCCTTTCAGTAAGTCCACTTATAAAACAGTGTGCCCTAAGAAAATAACCTGGAATATATAAGAAAAGATGAACACACAAATGTGTTTGCCTCATCATTATTTATAAGGGAAGAATTGGTGAAACTTTAGTAAAGTAGGATACCTGAAATATTATGTATCCATTAAAACAATGAATAGCCCTACCCAGTTTGGCACAGTGTATAGAGTCGGCCTGCAGACTGAAGCGTCCTGGGTTCAATTCCAGTCAAGGGCACGTACCTCAGATGCAGGCTCGACCCAGCCCCAGTTAGAGCACATGTGGGAGGCAACCAATTGATGTGTCTCTCTCACATTGATGTTTCTCTCTCTGTCTCTCCCCCTCCCTTCTACTCACTCTAAAAATCAATGAAAAAAATATCCTCAGGAGAGGATGGATAAATAAATAAATAAAACAATGTGTAATAACTTTGATGGTTACAAAGCTACTATAGACCTGCCCAAGGCTTCTACATGATAGCGAGAGCAGGGTTCCTCTGAACCATCAATCAGCCCCTATTGCTGCCGGGGTCCAGCCCCGGTGGTCCAGGGGTTCCCAAAGGTGTAGACGGAGTCGGCGAAGAATGAAGGAGCCGGAGACAGTGTTCAGATGATCAGCATAGTTGGGTTCTCCCTTTATTCTCCTGTTACATCTGTATTTATACCATTTGATCCTATAAGCATGCCTCTATAATCACATCATGGTCTGTTTCCTGTCAC